CTGATTCCTTTGCTCACCTTATAAAGGTGGGTAGGTATTTCTCAAAGTTCTAATCTTGATACTATCTTTTATGTATTTTTTGAACTAGCTCATTTATGCTTATGGCTTCCATGACTACTATTTTTGCTATAAACTTTCAAATCCACATGCCTAAGCCAAACATTAGTTTATAAGCTCCTAATTCTTTATTTCCAACAGCCTGTAATCTTCCGTACTCAGAGTTCCCACAGGTGGTAGCTCAACATATCCAAATCCAAAGCCATATGCTCCCTTCATATGTACTCGTCTTCCTGTACTCTCTTATCCTTTCTTTATTCATTTAACAAACAAATGTAAGCCCTGGACCTAAGATAGGCACTGAAAAAACAAAGACATACTAACCGTTCAAATGAAACTCATATTCTAAGGCACAAGAGAATATAATAATATAATCCAATAATACAAGGATGGATATATGCACAAGATGCTACAGAAGTACTGTGTAAGAATGGAAGCCAGAAATTAGGGGAGGTATCTTGAGGATTTAATGCCTGCTCAAATCTTTAAAAAGTAGACTTAGCCAGGGATTTCCAGGATGAGTCAAAGCACGGCTCTAAAAGAGAACATGCTATCTACAGGATATAAGCAATTTAGAATATAAAATTCAAAGTAGGGTACAGCAGCTGCAAACCAGACCTAACAGCACCACCAACCCGCTTCTGGTACCGGGGATCGAACTCCAGACCTTGCGCTTGGGAGCAGGTGGTGGCACCAATGAGCTAAATCCCCAGCCCCTTAAGAGGATATATTAATAAACTTACATTTCATCCTAAGTGTGACCAAAAACTTCCAAAGAGTTTTAAGCAGGATAACGAGTAAAATATTAAGGTTTTGGGGTCACACACATTTCCAGCAGTTGTGTGGAAGGGTAAAGATTAAGGGTAGTTAAAACGGTAGCATAGCACTCCAGGCAAGAAGAAAACCTACACCAGAGGCAGTGGTGTAAGGTTAGAAAGAAGAGAGAACAAAGAAAGAATTAGGAAGCCAAGTGGGTGTCCTACCTAATTAATTGGCTATGCAGAGGCCAGAGTGAAGAGGACTGAGGATTTAAGATGGCTCCTGGACAAGTTTCAAATTTGGATGGAAAGGGCACCCACAAATGAAAGAGAAGAAAAGAAATACTGTACAAGAAAAAAACAAGCAAAAGCTATGCAGGGGCAATTTACAGAAAAACAAAAGGTCATTACACAAATTTCAAAAGCTCAATTTCACTACTAATCAGTGCAATGCAAATTAAAATAAAGGGAAATCATCCCCATCTCTGACAGTCTCTCAAAAATTCATAAAATTTTATAAGACAGATAGTATTAGTGAAGATATGGGGATATAAACATGTCTATATGCTTAACAGTGGAGCACAGCTTGGAACACCCTTTTGGAATGCAATTTCAGAGTTTTTGTTTTATTTTTAGTTTTTCAGACAGGGTCTCGAGAGGCTGGCCTTGAAGTCACTATTGTAGCCCAGGCTGGTCTCAAACTGATGGTGATCCTTCTGACTCAGCCTTACAAGTACTGAGTTATACATAGGTGCCATCATGCTCAATTTAACAATAATTATCAATACTTAAAACATACATCCCCTTGAACCAGCCATTCTACTTCTGAGAATGTAGCCATTCATACTTATACACAAAATTTAATATAAAGAATCCTCCTGTAGAGCTAATGTGAACAAAAATTCAAAGACTAATTATACATCCTTAGAGAGGTTAAATCAATTCTGATAATCCATACTACAGAAAAATACAATACAGCACAAAATATATATGAATTAAAATGGAAAGATTTCCAAAACATGCATATTTTAAGAGAAAAAAAATCACAGAATGACATATACAATAAATTCTTATTTATTTTTAAAAAATTAAAAGCCTGTATTTGTTTGCGAATGCACAGAAAAAAGATTTAGACCAGCAGTGACGAACCTATGGCATGTGTGCCACAGTGGGCTATTTGTTAACACTGAAAACTCTGAAAGTTTCTCCACCACTGTTCTGAAATAAATCAAATTTCAATTTAGAGAGAAGAGTGGAAGCAAGGTATAAACAGCACAAAAGGAGCTGTATTTTTTACTCTAGCAAAGCATAAAGTTTAATCCTGCCCATATATCCACAAGAATTACATTTATAATTTTAAAAATTATGTGTATGACATGACATGTGGCATGTGACCAGCTGACAGAGCATCTGGTAAGTAAAAGAGACCCAATGGCTTTTCTAAAGCCACAGCCCAAGCCAAGAGGTTTTAATAAAAACTGCTGCTAGCCAAGAGTGGTAGTGCATGCCTGTGATCCTAGCTCCTGGGGAGGCTGAGGTAGGAGGACCCCAAGTTGAAGGACAGCCTGGGCAACTTACAGATCCTGCATCAAAATAAAAAATAAAAAATAGGGCTGAAAATGTAACTCAGTGTATCCTGGGTTCAATCCCCAGTACACATATACACACACGCAAAAAAAACTACTGCCAATCTTCTTTATTATCTAGTTCATACTGGCCAAAACACTTGCATTTGCTGATCTACCTTGCTGTCTGGGAAAGCCCACTTTCTGTATTCATGCTGCTCAAAGGTTTACTCAGATGATTTTTCTTCACAATGTAGTTGTATTAATTCATGTCTTAGATCTTTATGTCTTTTATCTTCTTAAAAAGCTTTATAAAACTATAACCAGGTTTTTTTATGGTTTTTTTGAGACAGGGTCTCACTATGTAGTTGAGACTGACCTGGAACTCACTATGTAGCCCAGGCTGGTCTCAAACTCACAGAGATCCTCCTGCTTCAGCCTCCCGAATGCTGGGATTACAGGTATGCACCACACCACACTCGGCTTATAACCAGTTTTTATATCCCAGTATGAATAGTTATAGTAAAATTTAAGTAATATATTAAAAAGCCATTTGGAGAGTGAGAAAGAAATATTAGGAATCATAATTTAAAACAGATTTAATTCACTGTTTCTTCACACACTCTTTTCAGTATTTTCTCAAGAACATGAACTATTTTTGGAGTTTTTTCTCTCATTTTTGTATAACAAGTATTTACTTTAACAATTCTTTCTCATGACTACTTTTAACTTTTATTTCTGCAACCAAGTCTCTTCAAGTAACTTTCAGGTAGTTTTTTGGCTCATCATCATTTTCTCCAATATAAAGAGAATGACTAATACAGCATGTTAAAGAGAGGTTTCACTTCTACAGGTAAATAAAAAAAAATAGCAATGAACTAGCACTAGCACTAGAACACCCCTCACATTAATCTAAAGTCAAGAAAGAGGCACTCCACCAGAATGGAGCAGGGAGAGTTCAAGTCCAGTACAGGTAACTTAGCATACCTGTTTCAAAATATAAATGAATGAATGAATGAATGAATGAGGGTTAAGGCATAGCTTAGCCTAAAGGCCCTGGGTTCAATTCCTAGTACAAGAAGAGGAAGAGCGGGGAGGGGGAAAGAGTGGGAGGAGGAGAAAAAGAAAAAAAGAGAGAGGGTTCTAATTAGGCTAGTAAATGTCTATAATTGAATCATATTTATGATCTGGTGTTATGAGCTGAACTGTGTCATCTCCAAAATCTTTATGTTGAAGGCCTAGCCCCCAGTACCTTAGAATGTGACTTCATTTGGAAACAGGGTCTTTAAAGGGGTAATTAACTCATTTTTTTCATTAAGCTTATTGGTACTTTTCAAGTATACAGTACAGTTATATTCATTACTGGGATCTTGTACCTTTACATGATGTAACTTGGTTCTTGTTTTTCCCCATTTCCCTTCCCTCCCTTCACCCCCTCCACCCCCTTCCCTATTTACAAAGACTTTGCTGCCATTTTTTCCTTTTCTCCTATTTTTTCTTTTCCCTTCTTTCCTTTTCCCTACCCTTTCCTTTTCCCTACCCTTCCCACTTCCCCTACTCTTTAGCCTTTTTCTTCCTATTTCACATTATACAATTTGAACCTTATTTACACTTTTAGTTTTTCACACCAGAGAAACTATTTGGTATTTACACGTGTGGTAGTTAATTTAGCTCAGTGGTTCTGACACCTGCCTGGCAAATGCAAGGACCCGAGTTCGATCCTCAGTACTACTATACTACTACTACTACTACTACTACTACTAATAATAAAAATAATAATAATAAATAATAAAATGAGGTCATAAGGATGGTTCCTAATCCAATATGACTAAATGTCCTTGTAAGAGGAGGAAAGAAGGACACAGAAACAGATGACATGAAAATACAGGGAAAAGAGCACATCTACAAGCCAAGGAATGAAGAAAGAAATCAACCCTGCCCACACCTTGATTTCCAACTTCTACCCTCCAGAGCTATAGAAAATAAATCTTTGTTGCTTAAGCTACTATTATGAATTTTGTCCTCTCAAAATTAATGTTGATGCAACTAACCAACAACGTGACTGTATCTGGAGATAAGTCCTTAAACCAGTACAACTGGTGTCATAAGAACAGGAAAGAACCCCAGGGAAGTGCACAAATACTGAAGAGACCATATGAGGAAGAAGGTGGACATCTGTAAGCCACAAAAAGAAATTTCTCCAGAAACCAACCTTGAAGGGACCTTGATTGCAGACTTCTACTTTCCAGAGATGTGAGAAAATAAATTTTTGTTGTTTGAGCCATACAGTCGATGGTACTTTGTTATGGTGGCCCTAGTAAATTAATAAGTTTGCTGATCAAGTAATTTAAAAAGCATTTTTGCTGGGCATAGTGGCACAGACTGTAATCCCAACAGTGGGGAAGATGAGGCTGGAGGATTGCCGTGAGTTCAAGGCCAGCCTTGACTACATAGTGAGTTCAAGACCAGCCTAGAATACATAGCAAGACTTTCAATCAATCGATCAATTGCTAGCATTCCTCTTTTCCCATGTCAAAGAAGACAAAGCATTTAAGCATTTTCATTAAAATAATAAAACCACGGCCCAGTAGATGGAGGCATTTAATAACACTTTTCTTACCTTCTTGAAGAATGCTGCAGGTGCCAGCTCAGATCTATTTAGTGTTCGGAAAAGGAACACTGGCCAAGATGATACACTCATCTGGTACCCTATTTTTATGAAATAAATTATGTATCATGAAAAAGCTTTTCTATGATTCTATTAATAAATTGGCATTAAAAAGTACGTTTCATTAACCACTTTTTTCTGGAGAATTACTTTCTCATCTAAGGACTTGGGACATGGGCAGAAGAAGTAGATCTACCCTCTTCTCGTTGATGCTGCCCCTCCTGTAATATGTGGCAACAATGCTATAGTGGGGCTAGAAATTCATATTTAAGAGAAGCCACTAGCTAGGCTCACCAACAAACACGTGTATTTTGGGGAAAGACCATAATACTATGGGTAATCCAAGCCAGTGCCCAGAAAGTTTCAATTCTACCACCATCAAGCACACAAGCACAAGGCAAAGGTTGTAGAAAACTTCTAGCTCCCCTTTCCTCAAGAGTACCTAACTTCCTTTCCTTTTCTTTTCTTTCAAAAAGACAATTTTCTGGCAAACTCAGCAAATGTACATTTTGCTGCATATAGCAGCACATTTCACTATATGTAACTTTTGTGTATAAAAAGACTATATTTATTCTAGTTTAATAATATACATGCTCAAGTATTTTTGGGAAGTGTACTAGAGTCAATAACTTACTCTGAATTGCATTAAAAATAAGATGGGTTAATAAATCAATAGGAGGGCAAACAGACAGATAAGTGATAATGAAGTAGAATCTAGGTACAATAGTAGGTATATAGGTATTCACTATAAAATTCTTTCATCTTTTTTGCATGTTTGACATTTTATCATAAAATGTTATGAAAAAGGACTGTTCTCACATTAGCAGTCACATACTAAACATGATCTTAGAATTTGTATCAAAAGTTACCAAAATAAACACAAGACCTGTCTTTTCTAAAGCTCTCACCAACTGTTATCATAGCATACAGCTTATGCAGCAGAGAGTGGAGGTCTGCTAGTTTTACTGTTTTCTGAGGGCAATCTGTTTCATGCAACACCTGCATGCCTCAATGCCAGAACTGGAATGGTGGCATGCTACTAATAGGTACATGCATTAAGATATGGAGGTAGCCAGGTGTGGTGGCATATGCCTGTAATCCTACCTACTTGGGAGGCTGAGGCAGGAAGACTACAAGTTTAAAAAGAGGCTAGGAAACTTAAAGAGACCCTATCTCAAGATAAAATTTTTAAAACAGGCTGGGGGACACAGCTTAGTGGTAGAATGCTTGCCATATGTAAGGTACTTGGTTCAATTCCCAGTACCTTCCCATCCCCTCAAAAAGATAGGGAAGCGTATGAGTCACTGGTAACAGACTCATCAATAGGACAAAATACACAAAAGAGTTAAGGCTGAAAGTCATGCTCTAATAACCCTGTACTCAAACTTCCTTAATCTGATTAGGGAAATAATTTTTTCTAGGAAAAAAAAAATGGGGGGAGCCTGATTTATTACTGTTATAATAAGTTACATTACCAATATTGAATAAAGTTTTCCACTATTTATTATCTCCACCATTATCTGTAGATTACTGCATTAGAATGATTGTGTTCCTTATGCCTTTCTCTTAACTCCCATCTTATCCATACAAAACACTGTATGATTTTTAAAATATCATAAACAATAAATGTGAATGATTATGAAGAAAAGAAAGCAAAAAGCATATAGTCTAAACCATCGTTTTATAATAATATATCTCTCAGTTTTAAAAAACATTTTAAGCTGCCAGGTGTGGTAGCACAAGTCTGTAATCCCAGAAGTTGGGAGGGTGAAGCAGGAGGACAGCTTGGAGGTTGAGGCCACCCTGTGCTACATAAGGACAGCTTGAACTACATAGTGAGACATGTCTCAAAAAACCAAAATATTTTAAACTAATATTTTTGTTCTTATAAGGATTGAATCCAGGGCCCTTTACATGCTAAATATATGTTACATCACTTAGCCCTTAAATACCCCTTAGCCCTTAAATCAAGCTAATTATAATTAACAATTAAAACAAGGACAGTATGAAAAGATATACTGAAAAAGTAGTTATTTAGTATCTTAAATTTTTGGTTCTTGGGTAGTCTGTATAACAGGAGACAAATATATTCATTCTCTCACTATGCTTTATAATAGTTTTTATTTTCAGCACATAAAGAAGAATAAGACAGGCATGATGGTACATCCCTATAATCCCTCGGAGATCATTCAGGGAAGCTGAGGTAGGAAGATCGTAAGTTTGAGCCCCACCTGAGCAACTTGGTGTGACCCTGCCTCAAAATAAAAAATGGAGCGAGGGATGTAGCTCATTATGAAGGCCCTGCATTCAATCCTCAGAACCACAAAAGAGGATGAAGAGGTGAACCGCTAAAAACCAACAATTATTACTCAGAATGTAGAATGGGGATCAAATAAATTAAATCATTTATTTTCTATAGAGTATCACAACATGCTTAAATTTTAAAAAGATAAACTTTGTCTCAAAGTAAGAGTCACACCCTCTTAAAATGTGGGCAAAATTTGAGTACTACATATGTGTTGTATTTTAAACCCTTTGCTAAAAGTTCCATACTTTCCTCCTTTTCAGAGACCTAAAGGTGAGGTAGTGGTTAGGATTTGGAACTCTCTCTAAAGACCTAAGGGTACTGACTCCTACCCCTACAGCTGTTTCTTCTGACCATAGGTGTAATGATACATCATGTGTGAAAATAAAGTGTGGATGTTCAATCATACCTTTCCTCTATACTTATCCACACACCAAAACTGCTAAATGGCTCACTAGAAAATATCAATAGGGGACATAACTCATCAAATTCTACAAAAGACTTCCTCAAAAGAGTTTCTGACTCTGCATGTGAAATCTAATAAGCTGCTTTGGCACTTCAAATTTGAAGACTTAGCATAAGACTTGCCTTAAAATGGGAACTTTTAGCACATATAAACCACCTAAACATCTACTTGCAAAATTGCCTAACAACTTTAAAAGACCACTTAAAACTATTTCTACTAAATATCAAATTGGTAAGAATGTTATTTTATAAATTATTTATCCTTACCCAGTGGAGGCTGAAGTAAGTTTCCTCGCTTTTCACATGTTCCAACAGGCTGTATCTCTGATGAGTCAACAAGTCTCCAAAAATCATTACTACTGTCACTACCATCCAGCCGTAAATGTAATCTGGCCCCAGAAGTTCCAATAACTGTGGCAATACATACTGAAGTAGCATTGCGAGGGTCATAGGCTTCTAATTTCATGCCAACTTTGAAGTCATTAGCAGGAGGAATCTCAGACTGTATATAAATAAAATTTTGTTAAAATACATCAACTATAAGAAAAAAAGGTCAGTTTTATTATCAGAACACCTTGGAAACATTTAAAATGTTAATAGCTAGAGTGACAATAGATGGTGAATGAGGTCAGAGCTGTACAGGTCAAGGAAAAGATCTCTAAATTCTCTCCTTAAATTGACATGTAGCACTAGAAACAGGACACATAGCTACTATTACTCATCTGGCTCACACCCAAGCAAACTACTACCACTTCTAAAATTTACCCTTAAGTGACTTTCTAAAATAATAATATGATTAGGCCATTTCCCTTGAAATAAGCGACCTAACAACTTAACACTGCCTATGATGAAAGTCTAACTCCTGAGCAGTTTAAACATTCCCACACCGTTCACCTTATTCCCACACTCCTACCTCAATGCATCTTGTGCTCCAGCTACGCCATGCCATCCCTCACTACTCAGAGTCTTTCAAACCCATCTGCCTTGGCTTATGTGTTCTCTCTGCTTGGAATATCCTTCTCTTCATTTGTACCATCTCAAATACCACCTCTTCTCTGAGTTTTCCCAGCCCCAGTACAGTTATCACACTTCTCATAACAATTTACTTACCTGTCTGTCTTTCCCTCTAGATGGGCAATTGTAAGGGCTTAGTATACCCAACACAGAATAAATTCGTTTTTATCTTTTGGTACTTGGGATTGAACTCGGAACCTTGTGCTTGCGAAGCAGGTAGCAGAAGCACTGAGCTAAATCCCCAGCCTCACAGAATAAAGTCTTAATGAATGAATGCAAAGAGACCATCTGGCTCCCAAGTTACACAACCACAATCCCAGTTTCTCCTCATACTACCAGAACCTAGCAATCAGATCCCTTCAACAAGTAAATAAATGGTTTACCTTATCTTACAGAATTTTGGCATACCTGTCTGAAGCACTTTGAAGGGGCACTTAGAGATCCAGTCTCTTGCAAATATATGCTCCAGTCAAAATAATCTAGAAAAAACAGAGTATATAAAACATATATACACTAACTTTCAGAATAAAGTGAGTTTTAGCTCCGTATCTCTTTGAAAATACTCCCTAAAAAACAGACTGAAACTTCTTGATTTCCATTTGATTACTAGCATGGAAATAAAGGAACAAGCCAATTTCCTGAAATATAATGGCTCTCATATAAATTACAAGCCAGATCCCCTCAATGTACTAGGACTAAAGCACAGTAATTCTAAAAATGTAGATGATAGAAACAACCAAGTAATTTTAATAAAGTAACAGTATTCTATTTACCTATCTCTAATGTAAATTTGTTTAAGAAATGTGTCTGCATAATCTCATCCCATTAAAGCAAAGGTGTTTAGATATGTGGTCTAATAAAATTTTACCCCTGCAATGTTTTCTGGAAAGAAAAAAAGTCTAAGAACCAGAATAACTTTTCAATAAACTATTAGATCTCCATCCAGAGTGACAAGAGGATGATGGTAGGACAAAGCAGTAAACTCATCATTAATGCAGTCATCGATATGCATTATTTTAACGATCTACTCTTACTTCTCTCTTCATATAACACTAGATGGAAAAATCAGAAAACTGTACTTTTCTTGGTTTTAACATTTCAATGCATTTGCAGACTGCGGTGACATTGAAAACTTAAGTCTCATTAACAATAAAGTTTTTCTATACTCTTGTTAAATTTCCTCCTTATAAAAACATTGGGCTTGATATTGATAGTTCTCCTTCCTTAGGGAATCTGTATTACCAGCTTCATATATTCAGTAGTCTCTCTTTACCCCTCAATCCACAGTGTCAGTTACCCATGATCAACTACAGTCTGAAATTATTAAGTGGAGAAAATTCCAGAAATAAACAGTTCACAAGTTTTAAACTGCACGGTGTCTCTGAGTAGCCTGATGAAGTCTCAGTCACACTCAACCCCACTCAGAGCATTAATCATCCCTTTATCCATGCTTTGTACACTACCTGCCTACTACTCACTTTGTTGCCATCTCAGTTATGAGATCAACTGCTGAAGTATCAAAGTACCTGTATTCAAATAACTCTTATTTTACTTAATGGTCACAATGTATGAGAGTAATGATGCTGGAAATTCAGGCATCAAAAACAGAAGCCATAAAGTGCTACTTCTTTAAGTGAAAAGATCACAGTTCTCAACTTAGTAAGGAATGGAAAAAAAGCACATGTTAAGGTTGCTAAGATCTACGTTAAGTTACAAGTATAGTTGCTAATCCTTACTGTGTCTCATTTATATACTAAACTTTATCATAGATATGTAAGTATATCCTATCTGTAGTTTCAAGCATCAACTGGAGGTCTTAGAATGATTGTATGCCAGGTAAGGGAGGAATACAGTATTCTTCAAAGGATACTATATTCTTTCTCTCTCTGTCTCTCTCTCTCATACACACACACACACTCTCTCTCTCTCTCTCTCTCACACACACACACACACACACACGTTGATAAATGTTTAATAACCAGCTTTATGAAAATACAACCGAAAAGCCTAACTGGTAGTGTGGCTTTCTATAGTGTCAAAACTACCACCATGGCTGACTTCAAGGAGCCAAGGTGAAGTTTTCAACTACAGTTAGAAAGTGATGTGCACAATAGGTTCTCCCAAGTCAGTGTGGGCCAAGTGTAGCACACTACCATTACATATGTGTACATTTATATGTGTAAACATATATGGTATTAGGCATGTCATATAAAACATTCTATACCTTACTTTTTAAACACTTAACCATAAAATTAAAAATATAGTTTGAGACCACTTCCAGATGATGTGAGTGAGCATTAGCAGTGTTGAAAGTCATACAGCAATGTCAAGCACATGGACTCTGGAGTCAGAGTTGTCTGCTATATTGCTCTGAACAAGTCATTTCACTTTCATCTATAAAACAAGGAAAGTAATATATATGGCACTAGGGTGTTTTGAGGATTAACTGCAGTAGCACATAAATAAGTCACTTAATAAATAATCATGCCTAAATTTGTGAATTTAGAAGCTTTGTCAAAAGTGAAAACAAATACATGGCTTCAAAATAAAACTGACCAGATAGTTCAGCGGTCTCCTAATCTCACAATCAGGAGACAAAATTTTAACTAAAACTCTATTACATGATCTAGGGCAGTGATGGTGAATCGACAGCACATGTGCCACAGAGGACTGTTTGTATCACTGAAAGCTCTAAAAATAAAAAGTTCACCATCACTGATCTAGGAGAAAACAGCTAGGCACAGTGGCATGCACCTGTAATCTCAGCTACTGAGAAGGCTGAGGTGTGAGGATTCTACGTTTGAGGCCAGCCTAAGCAATTTAGCAAGACCCTGTCTCAAAACAAACACACAAACAAAAAGGGTTGGGGACACAGATCACTGGAAGAGTGTCCCTGAGTTCAATCACCAGTATCACAAAAACTAAAACAAAAATGAATGGAGAGGCCGGGGTTGGTGGCGCATGCATGTACACCCAGCACTCGGGAGGCTGAGGCAGGAGGATCATTTTGATTTCGAGACCAGCCTGGGCTACATAGTGAGTTCCAGGGATGGGGATTTAGCTCAGGGGTTCTGCTGCCTGCCTCGCAAGCTCAAGGTCCTGAGTTCAATCTCCAGTACCAAACAAACAAACAAACAAACATAGTGAGTTCCAGGTCAGTCTGAACTACATAGTGAGACCCTGTCTCAAAAAAAAAAAAAA